CACGCAGGTGTCTGCCTAGGAGGTGCTGGTGATCAGGAAATGAATGAGGCCGTCCCAGTTCACAGTCAAACACACGGTGGCCCACCCACACCCTGGGGTGCTGCTCAGCAATGAGGGGAACAAGCGCTCCGGAGAATGATGCCGAGTGTAAAAAGGCAATCCACTGGTGTCAGAGTGTCTGATGCCATTCACTCCACCGTCTTGAAAGGAGGAGGTTATATTGATAGAAATGAAGACTCAATTAGTAATGCTAAGGCGGGGGAGGGGGGGGGGGGGGGGGGGGGGGGGGGGGGAGATTGTTGGAGGTGGGAGGGGAGAAGGTGTGGCTATGAAAGGGCCACACCCGCGGTCCTTGTGGTGACAGAAATGTTGTGTCTTGACTGCATCAATGTCCTGGTGGTGATATTGAAGAGGAGGCAAAGGAAAGAGCATTTAGCACAAAAAAATACAATTAGCGTGCTGGCTGGGTGGCTCCCTTAGAGCACCATCAGGTATACCAGAAGGTAGAGTTCCATATCTGATTGTGGCGCACACGGGAGGCAACTGATCAATGTCTCTCTCTCTCTCTCTCTCTCTCTCTCTCTCTCTCTCTCTCTCTCTCTCTCTCTCCTCCTCTAAAATCAATAAACAGCCGAAACCGGGTTTGGCTCACTGGATAGAACGTCGGCCTGCAAACTGAAAGGTCCCAGGTTCGATTCCGGTCAAGAGCATTTTATCTTGGTTGCGGGCACGTCCCCAGTAGGGGGTGTGCAAGAGGCAGCTGATCAATGATTCTCTCTCATTGATGTTTCTAACTCTCTATCCCTCTCTTTCTCTCTGTAAAAAATCAATAAAATATATTAGAAAAAAAAATAAAGAAAGAATTACCAGTTTCACCACCTGTCCCTCTAATAATAAAATGAAATAAAATAAAATCAATAAACATATCCTCAGGTGAGATTTACTAAAAATCAAATACAATTATTAGCCTGTAACTCCAATGAAGAAAGAGTTGCTGGCTGGTTGTGTGCTAAATTTGCGTGAGTGTGTTTATGTCTAGAGTTTAAATATTTAATTTACCACTGAGGGAAACTGGGTATAGGATACATGTATTATTTTGTACAACTTCAAAGTGAAAGGTTTGATATTTGAAAAGAAGGAAGCAGCCCACGTCGGTTTGGCTCAGTGGATAGAGCATCGGCCTGCTGACTGAAGGGTCCCCTGTTTGATTCCCATCAAGGCCACATTGTGGGCTCCGTCCCCAGTAGGGGGCGTGCAGGAGGCAGCTGATCAATGATTCCCCCTCGTCACTCATGTTCCTATCTCTCTCTCTCCCTCTTCCTTCCTCTCTGAAATCAATAGACTATGTATTTCTTTTCAAAAGGAAGCCGCCATCGGCCTCTCCCTGCTTGGGCTCCCGGCCTCCTGTTACTGTTGACATGGAAGCAGCAGCTCCATGGCACTGTCCTCCTGCTCCCAGGCTGCAGACCCACAGCTCCATGAGGTGCTGTCCTCAAAGAGCTCACACTGAGGGAGCGAGACCCACCATACACCTGACACAGCCATGTGGTGGCAGAGGACAGCCCTGCCTGGCGGGACAGGGACAGGAAGGGCTTCCAATGCAGCGACACTGGAGCTGATCTCTGAGGGGTTAACGGGGGCAGTGAGGAAGGGCATCTGAGGCAGGTGTTTGTAAGTGGGGCCCACAAGATGCAGATCATTGCAATGTGTGAAGGCATGATGCGGGCTATTGCCCAGCTTGCACATAAACATTTTAAAGTGACGGACAAGCCCTAATTGCTTTGGCTCAGTGGATAGAGCGTCAGCCTGTGGACTCAAAGGTCCCCAGTTTGATTCCAGTCAAGGGCATGTACCTTGGTTGCGGGCATATCCCCAATAGGGGGTGTGCAGGAGACAGCTGATCGGTGTTTCTCTTTATTGATATTTCTAACTCTCTCCCCCTCTCTATTCCTCTCTGTAAAAAATCAATAAGATATATCTAAAAAAATAAAAATAAAGTGATGGACAAAATTACCCTCTTCCCATTTCTCCTCACCCTTTGGTGCCTGCTGCTGCTCACCTGTAAGCGAGCCCAATAAAAGAGTAAAGGCACGAAGATTCCTTTGTGAGACGTCACACCAGGGAGCTGGCGCCTTTGTTCAGCCTGTCAATGTCATCTTTCACGTTCAGTGTAGTGAAAAGGCAGATGTTAATGTTTTTCCTACTAAGAGATTGTTTCTTTTTAGAGTGCATGGTTAGTTTTTCCGTCCTTGGCCTAGACCTGCTTTATATATAACAGCAGCGTAGTGGTGGGAAGATTGAGGGTTGGCGCTGAAAGGACCCTGTATTTGAATCTCAGTTCTACCACTTACTAGCTATGGTCTTGACCTTCAGTCTCCCTTAGCCTCAGTCCCTTCATCTCTATTGATGAGACAAATTATACTACACAGGTCTGTATTACAAAATACACAGGGCTGTGGTGGGGATCAATAGGAAAACATTCGCCAACGGACCTTGTATAATGCCTGGTGCATAGTAAGCACTCAATAATTGGTATTCATCCTATATAATAAAAGGGTAATATGAATATAGACCAGATGGCAGAACAAGTGAACAACCAATAAAAGTGTAATAGGCTAACGATATGCTAAGGCTGCTCACCCGCTCACTATGATGTTCACTAATCACCAAGGGGCAGACAGTCAACTGGTTGACCAGTTGCTATAACATGCATTGGCCACTAGAGAGCAGGTGCTTTGACCATTAGGTTAGCTTGCTGTTGGGGTCTGGCAAATGGGGACTGAGCTAGATGGGCCGGGCATGCCCTAGAGCCCTCCCATGATCCCTCCCCAGCCTAACCCTAACCCTAACCCTAACCCTAACCCTAACCCTAACCCTAACCCTAACCCTAACCCTATATCTTCTCACAATCTGGGAACCCTCGGGGTATATTGGAGAGCTGGTTTTAGCCCGATCCTGCAGGCCACTCCAGAGGCAGGGCTCATGGCTGGCCAGTGCTGCTGTGGCACCACAAGCCTCTCCCGATCAGGACTGATTGGGTGTGAGCCCACAGTAGGCACAGTGGGGCCAGAATTAGCTGGAGCAGTGGGTAGGAGCTGCAAATGGTGTTGGACTGTGGGTTTTGGCCTGATCCCTGTAGGCCACCCAGGGGGACCCACCCTTGCATGAATTCATGCACCAGGCCTCTAGTTATTGTTAATAATTATTCTAGCTTATATAAGAAATTAAAGATATATGCCTTTCACAGTGCTCTACAAATAACATCATGTTTCCAGGATTGTATCAGCCAGGATAGTCTGGGTTTTGCTGCAGTAACAAAACACTCCCCACATGAGCCACAAAGGTTGCCTCCTGATCACGATGCAGTCTGCTCCTGCAGTCCTCCCTCCAAGACCCAGGAAATTGGAACAGCCAGTTTCTGGAACATTGCCAGCAGAGGAAAGGGGTCTTCTATCCACATTAAATGCTGCTAAACCAGTAGTCAAACATTGGTCTCATAATCCGGGACTGCTGGCTCCTAACCACTCGCCTGCTGGCTTGATCACCCTCTCCCCCTCATGCCGGCCTGATCTCCCCCTAACTGCTCCCCTCTGCCAGCCTGATAGCCCCTAACAGCCTCTGCCTAGGCCCCTGCCACCATGGCTTTTTCTGGAAAGAAGTCCAGAAGATGTCCGGTTTAATTAGCATACTGCCCTTTTATTAGTATAGATAAGACTGCTGGAGGAATTACGCCACACACGAATATGCAGTTGCAAATCACACAGCACTTTATTACTCACAGGGCTCCTGGTGCCAAGGGATCAGGCTTAACGGGGTCCCCGGAGGAGAGTGGGGTCCTCTGCGGGCAGTGGCAGATCCCTCTTTGGGTGGCCTATAGGGATCAGAGGTTCTGCAGAAGTCTCATGATCAGAGGTTCGGCCGTTCTCCTGCCGGCCGGCCGGCATGGAGTGAGGCCGCCTGGGGGTGGACCAAAAGGATGGTCGATGTCTGATGCCAGGGACCGTTTTGAAGCCTGTCCTGGCCCACAGCCGTCCAGGTGGCTATCAGTCACATGTATCATCACACAAATGTTAACCGGAATGCAGGCTGGTTATCGGCCCCAGTGTGGTGTCTATAAAGTTCACACACGTCGTTCCTCAGGGCAGCACTCAGCGATGGTCTAATCTCTATGGTGCAGATAGGGCTGGGCCGGAGCGGCCACTCCCTGTGCTCTTTACTATTTCACACAAGTATTTCACAAAAAATAATTTTTCTATGAATTAATTTGTTATGAAGACAGCGAGGAAGCCAGTTGTGTTCAGCCCAAGCCACCCGTGCAGAAGCTTCCCCGGTGTCCCAGTGGAGATCCTGGGGCACCGAGGTCTCAGGGACTTGACTGGTAGGGAGAGTGAAAGCCCACTGAGCGAGCAGGACAATGGAAGATTTGCTCCCTGAGTTCCTGTAGGACAGGCTCATGGGGAAGGGAAGCCAGGCATCCGGAGCCCAGAGGAGCCCACCAATCCCCACCACAAAGGCTCAGTCCATCTTACTGAACCGAAGGCTGCAGAACACAGGTGGGGAGAAACAGGGGGCCTAGAATATCACCGTGTCCACACCACTTCCCCGCTGATGGAGAGGCTGTGTCTCAGGGCTGACTGGTAGATCTCCTTGACCTGCTGAGTATCTGTTTTCACCTCTCTCTCTCTCTCTCTCTCTCTCTCTCTCTCTCTCTCTCTCTCTTTCCAAAATCAACCATTGTTCTAAGAGCATTTGCAGTTTCATTATAATTTCACTGGTCTCTCAGAGCATCCTGGCCCCAGTGAGCACCAGCAACTTTTCAAATGTTCCACCCACTCTGCTGTCATCACCACCCCCATCACAGTTCCTTCATCATCATCATCATCATCATCATCACCATCATCATCATCATCATCATCATCATCAAGAAGTCACTGCCTATAGTGCATAACATTGTAATAACTATGAATGATGCCATATGTCTGCCAGACTTAGCGGTGATATCACTTTATAATCAGTTTATTGTTACCTAAACTAATACAATATTCTATGTCTACTATAATTGAAAAATAAAAACAAAACATTTTTTATGTCTATCTAAGATGTGCTGCTGGAGACAAAGGTGAGCTGGGACTGGAAAGCAGGGCGAGAGACCAGGAATGGGGAGGGACATGGTTCCTGCTGGGAGGGTGAACCCTGGGGAGGGCCAGTCCAGGAGCCACTGTAACTCCCATATCCCAACAACTCAAACTCTTTCCCCTTCTTCCATTGTCAACTCTTCAGTAGTTCCAGCCTTCTTGGTGCTTATTCCTCCACTTCTCTTTCTTTATTCATGACCCCAATGTCTTTTTTAGTCAAAGTACAGTTCCTCATATCCACCCCCCCCCCCCCCCCCCCCCCCCCCCCGCCCTGATCCCTGTCTTCCCTGATTTCAGGTCCAGGTTCCTTCCTTCTCTTTGACCCACCTGCCATTTGAATGAATCCCTCCTCCACTGTGCTCAACACCTTTCCATGCAGTTCCATCCATTTTATCTCTCTGGCTTTTCCCCTCTAACAATGTCAAGTCCACGCCTTTGTCTCCCACATACCACGCTCCCTCCTCCCTGTACCACCAAGAGATCATGGAGATAGGTTCTCCTGTAGACTTTCGTGAATGAGGGTGAGTTGTTCCAGCCTCCTCTCCAGCTCCTGGGCCTGCTGCCTCAACTCTTCCGCCGACTGAGCCTTTGCGCCCTTATGTAAGTGTACTGAATTTTTCACCAGGTCCACTACATCCACGATAAGGAATACACCTGCCGTGGCTGCACCAAAGACCCTGGCTCCTTTGCCAAGAGCTTTCATCGCCTGGAGGCCGGATTGAGCAAAGACTGTCCCCATGCGCTTAAAGCCCGAGACCTTATCTAGATTGATAGAATTGGATTCTTCTGCATTGAGGACACCAGCTTTCTCCAGAATGCGTTCCAGTAGTGGGAAGCACCTCTGTGCTAAGGAAACAATTTTGGGTGTGCATTGAAATAGAATTCTCTCAACCACCTTCTCTAAGTTTCTGCCAGTTGACTCGATGCGCTTGGCTTCGGCTTTTGCTGACCCATTCTTTGAGACTTCCACGATGTTGGCAGTCACACCAGTCACAGCAGCTGCTGCCCCCAGTCCCAACCCAACTCCCGAAACTGCCAGACTAGCCCCTAATGTGAAAGGTGCCAGACACACGCCAGCGATGGTCAGAACGCCAGACACAGCGCCTGTGGAAGCGGCCGCCACCTGGGTGATGGTGCAGTCCCTGTGCACCTTGTCAACCTCATCAGCAAGTGCGTAGAGCTTTCCTATGCGTTCCTCAAGGTCCTGTTTGACCTGAGGAAACTCCTTCATAAACCTTTCCCTATTCTCCTTGTCTTCCATGGCCATGAATGTTTTAAGCTGGCTCAAGTCTGCATAGAGTGCATCTGCCTCAGCCCTGCAATCACAAAGGACAGGGGATTAACCACAGCAGGTCTATGAATTGCTAAAGCTGAGACCCTACTGGATGACCTGGTGCAGGAAGCCCTGACCTCTATGGTGGGAACATGTGCATCTATTCAGAATCCCTCAGATCACACCACTTTGACAGCCCCCACTCTAACCAGAAGCGGTCACTGAGCCACATTGCATTCCCTCTGGTCAGCGTTACTCCATGGAGAAGAGAAGAGGGTCCCACAGGGAGATCAGGAGCTCTCTAGCTCACACACAGGGTTGGAACACATGATCAACCAGGGCCCTCTGCCCCCAGCAGAGAGGGGATAAAATCAGGGAAGGAAGAAATGTGCCCTCAGCCCCTGCACAGCTCTCCACTAGGCCCCTGGCCTCCTCAGTCCTGTGTCCAGGTGCTTCCGCTGCCTCACTCTAGTCCAGCCCCGCTGCCACACCTTCCTGCCAGTCCTCCCACCTGGACCACCCTTGCTCCATCCAGACCTGGGCTCTGACCCTGCTCCAGGCCTCTCTGGGCCTCCAGACAGGATGACTGCACTTGCTTCCTTGCCACCCTTGACCCTGAAGTTCATCCCTAGGCCTTCACCAGAGTCCTATCAGACGGACTTGCTATTCATTGATGAGGGAGATGACATAAGCCCAGAGCCCCAGAGCCAGGCAGAGATACAGTCAGGATTCAACCCAACACGGTACAACCTCACTGCAGCTCTCCACCTTCCAGGCCAGCAGTACCCTGCAGAGTTTGTGCAATCCCTTTCTTAGGGAGAGCAGGCTCTCTAGCCACAATCCCCGGAGACACAAACTGTGCCAGCATTTTCTGGCTTGTCCCACAGGACGTCCTGCGAGGCCCTCACATCCAACAAGAAGATGCTTGGGTCCTGTCTATTCCCAGCATCTTTTCTAAAGTTCATGTGAACTGCCCACATACCATGTGTCAGTCATTAGGCTAAACAGTTAGACGCATGATCTCATTCTCCTCACAATGGAATAGAACAGATGAATAAGACAGAGAGTGGTTAAGTAACATGGCCAAGGCCTCATAACCTTCCCTCTACAAGTCTCATCTCTTCTTAACCTGGGGCCCTTCTCTGCCAACAAATGATAGGAAGGAAATGTTGCTCATGGACTGTTGAGAAGGAACTTGTTTAATCCCAAGCACAGGATCCTGCCTAGAGGAGGGTGCCTGTCAGAGGAATCTGGATGCAGGGGAGATGGGGGTGACGATACAGACATCCCCTGGAGGTTACCTAGACAGCTTGGCTGCAGCCACAAATCTCTCCCAGGATCCATCACTCAGCAGGCGTTGCAGTTTCTCTTTGTTCCATGGGTCCTTTAAATACTCAATGGCATCAATGAAGTCTCTGTGCTCTAGATGGAAAGCGAAAACAATGAGGTTAGAAGGTAATGGGTAGAATGGAAATGGAATTGAGTATCTAATCTAATAAAATGGTAATATGCAAATTGACCATCAATCCATCACAAATTTTGCAGCACCTTTAGCATCACAGGTCCAGGCCACAGAGGGAGGGAGGGGGTCTGGGCAGGCAGCTCACCTCTACCCCAGAGGACACAATGCAGGGCTAGGGGGGCATGTTCCTGGCAGCTGCTTCGGGGCTCAGAGCACACTTCTACCCCAGCGGGCACAACCCAGTGGCTCTCTGCATGGGAGCTGCAGAGGAAACACCTTTTCTGACCGCTCATTAGCTAAGCTCTCTGTATGCTGCCACTTGCACTATTCTTGGTAAATTGAATAATGAGAACCCAAACAAGTGATTTAGACTTTGTTCCACACTCCTAGAAGACAAAAACTAACATCTGCTGCTTGTGGGGCTAAAAAATGTCATATTCTGTCCTAGCTGGTTTGTCTCATTGGATAGAGCTTTGGCCTGCTGACCACAGGATCTGGGTTTGATTCTGATCAAGGGCATGTACCTAGTTTGTGGGCTCCTCCCTGGCCAGGGCCCAGCTCAGGCCTCTTGCAGGAGGCAAAGAATTGAAGTGTCCCTCTCACATTGAGGTTTCTCTCTGTCTTTTCCTGCCTTCCAAGCTCTCTAAAAATTAATGGAAACATATCCTCAGGTGAGAATAAGAAAGAAAGAAAGAAAGAAAAAAAGAAAGAAAAGAATGTCAGATCCTATGAAAGAGACATCTGGAAAATGCCTAAAGAAATTTGTCATTTTTTTGTGGTGAAGGAACTGGAGTTCACATTGCAGAAAACACCATGGCAGATGTGGTGGCTGGCAGTGGCTGCAGCAGTGGGGTGATGGTGCTGGCACCTTCCCCTGATCAGCCTGGTTGCCTCCTGCAGAGGGAGGCCAGACTGTGGCTTAGCCCCTATCCTCATAGGAAGCAAGGTTAAGCAGTCAGTAGGACATCCCCCAAGGGCTCCTAGTCTGTGAGAGGAGGCAGGCTGGGGTGAGGGACCCACCCCTCAAGTGCACAAACTTTGTGCACTGAGCCTCTAGTAAACAAGGTAGTTAACTGTTCATCTTCCTGAGCAGCTGTCACCTGAGGAACTCTTTAAAAATTTATTAATCTGGGGAATGTTTGTTGAGTTACCTGGTATTATGGAATGAACTATCCACCCCCCAATTTATATATTGCTGGCCTGACACCCCATGCGAGTGTACTTACTAATTTATTTTTTAAATATATTTTTGTTGCTTTTTAGAGAGAGAGGAAGGGAGAAGTATAGAGATAGAAACATCGATAAGAAAGAAACATCAATCAGTTGCTCCTGCCTGTGTACTCCTGGAGGTTGGGCTGCAATCCAGGCATGTGCACCAACTGGGAATCCAACCAGTGACCTCTTGGTTCATGAGTCAACACTCAACCACTGAGTCACAATGGCCAGGCCCCATGTGACTGTATATTATAATTAAGGTTAAATGAGGCCGTAAGTGTGATACTAATGCAATAAGGATGGTATCCTTATGAGAAGATTGTGAGACACCAATTCTCTCTATCCCCCACTTATATCTCTCTCTCTCTCTCTCTCTCTCTCTCTCTCTCTCTCTCTCTCTCTCTCCCCCTCCTTCTCCCTCTCTGTCTCTCTTTCTTTAAATCAATAACTTTTATAAATCTTTTTAAAAATGTGGGACTCTCAGGGATTTGGAGACTCTGGAAATGCAGATAAGGGACTGGTGTATGCCTTGTGTGGGCATAGACAGAATGTAAATGTGTTTCCTGTCATATACACACAAGACATATTTTATTTCATAGACAAAGAAAGTGAAACTCAGACAGGAAAGAAGGCCCAAGCCAAGAAGCAGAAAGCTCACAGGTGGAATCCAAGGTCAACCATCAACCATTTCCTGACATTTGTTTGAAGCCTCCTTAGGTTTCAAAAATTCATGTGATTTGTGCATTCAACCCTATAGTGCCCCTTGGGGATATTTTCAGAATTTAAAAATAATGTTTCAGGTCACACGCCATTGATAGAGTAAACCTACCAGGCAAAGAGGATGCTTCCTGCTACTCACAGATGCTCCAGGGTGGGGAGTAGAGGAGGCGTCTTCAGGTGGGTGGGGTTTGGGCCCTCAGATCTAATGCTGTGATCAATCAGTACCACCTCTCCCCCTCCAGGCTGGGCTCAAGGGCCACAGCTCCCCTGGCAACTCTGACTCCACCCTCACCCACTTCTTAAACAGGAGGTCATCTTGTTTATCCTCAGGAAACCACCAGCTTCAGTCCTCCCTCAGGGAACCTGGGGCCTGCTCAGAAGCTTCAGCTTCTGAACTGTCCGCTTCCCACTTATGCTGTAACAGAAACAAGTTTTATCCCCTCCTGGGGGGTGATGTGGTTGCCTAGAAAATTCAGTGTTGATTTGGGTGGGTGGAGGCGTGTTTTTTCCTTTTCCTGTTTCACCCACTGAGGGAGAAAGTAAACCTGGGCTAGGATGGAGGGAACCCAGAGCACTGCATCTGTGTATCTGTTGGCGAGCATGTGGGTGGGTGTGGGAAATAAAAAAGCGGGTCTCCGCAGGGGTATCTGAGATCATCAGAAGTTCCTGTCTGACAGTCACACCTAGCACACAGGTGTTTATAATTGGGAGCACAGGTCAGGGACCCAGCACAGCTGTGGAGGTTGCAGTGCTTTGGAAGGGGAAGTTTCCACCAGGAACTAGCAGGTTCCAGGTACAGGGGACAAGAGATTCCCACCTCCCATGGGCTGTCCTGGCCTCATTGGAGTCATTGCATGAGTTGCAGAAGATGGGAAGCAGTGAGCATGTTGAGGAGAGAGCTAGAAGGAGATCCCCACATACACTTCTGGTTGAGGGGACTTCCCTTGGACCCTCTTGGGGATTTGAGGACACTCATCAATCCCCTTTGAAGTTCTTCATTCCTGTGTAGCTTAACCCATATTGGAGATGTCTCCCTCAATTCTAGATCATGAGCAGGAACCAGCTAAGAGGAGGAAGCTGACTACCTGGGCAGTTTCCGTAAACTTTTGAGGCCATGGTGTCAGCAGTGGGATCTCAGAGTTTCCCCTTCGGCTCACCAGTCTGTGTTCAGCTGGAAGGAGGTGTTGCTTCACCCTTGGGGAAGAGAAAACAAATTGTGGGGTGCAAGGTGAGCCAGCTGTGCAACTGGGAGCAGCGAGGGGCTCCGTTTCTGGTGTTTCTTTCAGGGAAGGCCTCAGATGCCAAGATGGACTCAATCCATTGTATTTTCATGTCTACCAGGCTCTGCCAGCTGCAATTTAGGAGCAGGTACTCACCTCACTCAAGCCCACTGCAAGCCAAGAGACAGTTCCTTTGTCCTATGGGGACACAAGGAGAAGAGCACCAGACAAGGAAATAGACAGGTGAGGAGAATAAAAGCAGACACGAAAGATGGGAAGGAGAGATGGGAGGAATGCTTTGGAAATGACTTGAGGTTGGGGACATCTGGCTTACTAATCAGTATAGCTAATATTGATGGTGTGTCTACCACAGGCTCCTTACCTGTTCCCTCAGCAAGTACTCTCGCACATTCCACGTGGTGGCCGCCATTGTGGCTCCCATTGGAACGTGGAGGAAACCACCACCAAGTGTAGGTTTTCACCTAAACTCGGGTTAGCCCAAGTGCCACAGTAGTGCTGGAGCTAGGACTCCAACCCAAGTCTTCCTGATCCCAATCCCGTGTTTGTGAGGACTAAGCTCTACTCCCTTTTACATACAAAAACGCTTATTGATGTGTCTGTGCTGCTTGCAAATCAGGCTTCTGATTCCCAAACGCTGTCTTGCGCCCTGTGCCCAGTCTCTGTGTTGATAAATTCCTGAGGCTGTGACCTCCCAAGCCTGCACTCTTTTTGCTTCTGCAAGACCCTCATGGCCTAAGGCCCTGGTGTCCTGCAGTCCAGGCCCCAGCCCTGCAGCCCTGCTGTGGGCTGCCTAGCCCTCCTGGTGCTGCTGGGTCCTCTCTGCTGCCAACGCCATCGCTGGACCTTAGCTTGTTTCCAGTTCTTTATGAAAATACTGCAGAGACAATCCTCGGGCATAGAAGCTCATCTGCATTTCAGGTTGCTTCCCTTAAATATTTAATAAATGGAATGACTGGGACAGAGGGTATCACCATGTAAAAATTCCTTTATGCCTAGAGCCACACTCTAATGCAAACCAATTGCACCATATTACATTTATGCTCATAGGACAGTGGTTGGCAAACGTGACTCCCAAGCCACATGCTGCTCCTTGGCTCCATGAGTGTGGCTCTTCCACAAAATACCACGTGTGGGGGCACACGTACAGTGCAATTGAAACTTCGTGGCTAATGCGTAGAAGTCAGTTTTCGGCCTGGTTGAGTCTATTTTGCACAAGTGGCCTTAGCAGAAGTGGGGTGTCGGTTGGTCAGGTGACTGCATGTGGCTCACCATCCTCAGTTTGCCAACTACTGTCATAGGATGTGAGATGCCCATCTTTTCTATCTTTCAGTTCATAGTACTTTTTAAACACACACACACACACACACACACACACACACACACCTTAGTTTTTAAAATTCTTTTATTATGCTAAAAAAAAAAGGCACAACATAAAATTTACCACTCTAACCATTTGTAAGGGTTCAGTTCAATATGTAAACTTGTATTTGCACTGGTTTGCAACCAATCTCCAAAACACTCTTCAATTTATAAAACAGAAAATTTCTACCCACTAAACAATAACTTGCCATCCCCCATCTCCCAGCCCCTGGAAACTGCCATTCTACCTCCCATCTCTACGGATTTGAGGGCTTCATATAAGTGGAATCACACAATGCTTCTCTTCCTGAGACTGCTTTATTTCACTTAGCACAGTGTCCTCAAGGGTCATTCATGTTGGAACATGGGTCAGAATGCCCTTCCTATTTTTTTTTTTTAATATATATTTTATTGATTTTTTACAG